TTGGGAGAGTGCTGGCCTAGCCTGAAACCTTAGGCTCAGTCCCAGCACTGCACACACTGGATATGGAGGCATGGTCCTGGATTCCCAGCACTGCACACACTGGATATGGAAGCATGGTCCTGGATTCCCAGCACTGCACACACTGGATATGGAGGCATGGTCCTGGGTTCCCAGCACTGCACACACTGGATATGGAGGCATGGTCCTGAAGTCCTAGCACTAGGCAGGAAACCTAGAAACCCAATGTCCTCCTTGACTACATAGGGAGCTTGAGGCCAGCCTGGGCTACATGACACCCTGCCTCAGAACAGCAACCCCAAACAAACAAAAAGCCCTACAGAAAACGCTGCGTTAGCAAGGGTGTGGAGAGTCCATTGACTGTAAAATGGTGCGGCTGCTCTGGGAAACAGTTCACAAGTTCCTCAAAACATAAAAAGAGAACTTCCACACAGCCCACAGACCTGCTGCTGTCACTATACGTAAAAGAACTGGGGGTACGGTCTCTAAGGTGGGGTGTGCAAACCCATTGGCAGGACAGTATTAGCCACAAGGGTCGAGAGGTGGAAGTCAACAACTGTCTGTGAGCGTGGCAGACTCACAACATGGGTTAATATTCAGCTTTAAGGGAGGAGAAAATTCAGGGATAAACCTTGAGAACATTGTAGTCAGTAAAAGAAGTGGCCATAAAGGGCAAACGCTGTGATTCAGATTTGAGAAGACAGGAAGCAGAATGGTGGTTAGGTAGTTAATGGGAATGCAGAAAGGTGTAATGGGCGCAGAGTTTCACTTCTGCGGGATTAAAAAGTTCCAGTTTGCAGTGATGTGAACTTACCCAAGCACCACTGCCCTGTACAAAGGGAAAGACAGAGCTCGGATACATTGTTGTCTTTTTTTAAAAATCACAGTAAAATAAATTAAGCAGACTGGGTGTGGTAGCACAGCCCTGTAATGTCAGCCTGGGCTACATATGGGGACCCTGCCTCAAAAAACTAACCAAAAAGAAAAATGCAAAACAACCCAGGGAACATACACACTCGCATGTGCGTGTGCATGC